ATGTTCACATATTTTGTGGGAACACCTTTCCGCGCAAGTATTTCGAACAGAATCGATCGATCGACTGAATCGAACGCACTCTTGAAATCGAGGAACACAGCTGTTGTCGGGCTGCGGTATGCGTGGCGCTGCCCTATTACCTGCCGCAAAGTGCATATATGTTCTATACAGCCACGTTCTTGGTGGAAACCTGCCTGCTCTTCCCTAATCCGAGATTCCCGTTCCACAGTGAGGCGACAAACGAGGAGCGAGGCCAGCAATTTTGTCACAACTGGCTAAGGCTAATGCCCCTGTGGTTAGCACAGTCTGTGCGACTTCCCTTCTTTTATATTGCCACTATGATCGATTCGCTCCAGTTAGCCGGGATACTCTCTTCCATTCAGCTACGATCGAATATGGAGGTCAGTGCTTTGCAAAGGACCTAAACGCCATTCTTAAATAGTGCAAATGGGAAAGAAGCCGGGCTAGCGGCAAAAAAACAGAGCGCAGTGATCGCGTTTCGGACCTCGGCCCCCGACGGAGGCACTAAAGTAACCGTTCATGGCTCGTCCTGCATCATCTGAGTAGGAAGAGGTCCGGGAGCAGGGAGCGAGCTGAACTGATCTTGAAAGTGTTCCGCCCAACGAGCCATACGGCGCTCCTTATTGTGCATCAGTGCATTTGCGCTGTCTTTGCTTGTCCCACTGACGCGAGGTTTCCTAGGACCAGTGGTGCGGATCAGCCGGAAGAGCTTGCGGTAATTGCATATTGCTGCTGCCACCTCCATTTCTTGAGCTCCACTGGTCCACCAGGCTTCTTTGTTAGCACGTAGGCTCCGCTTCATTTCGCGCGTAATAGCCCGTCTGGTCACATTGTGACCAGAGCCAGCCTGGAGGTTTCTTCTGGTTTCCGACAGGTTCACCGGCCTATCGGATATCCAGTGACTGGTGCGGTGACGATTGATAGTGCCACAAGCAGGTGCTCCTGCGTCGGGCATAGCGGCCGAGATCTTATTCCACTGAAGCTCAGTGCCATTAGAACAAGACAGCTAAAGTTCGGTGCTCAGTGCGTTTTGATAGGCTTGCCTGACCGAGGGCTGAGATAACTTCTCAGTTGTCAATCGGGGGAGACAATTAGTGGACCTCCCGGTAAATTTCAGTGAAAAGCGACAGCGTACCATGGTATGATCAGAGTCTATGCAGGTCCATCGTCGGCCAGCTACAGGAGGACGCCAAGGGTCACTATGGAGCCCACTGTGTCTGAATGGAGTGCTACTAAGAAACCTCTGGTGCTCCGCACACAGTTTCAGCAGACGCTCACCGTTGTCAGTCCTTTCAGAGTTAAGCCCATAATTACCGCTCAGCTGAGCTTCTGAAGAACTCAGCCGCCCTTTTTGTGCGTTCATAACCCCTGCAAGTAATATATTCTCTGAACTAGTAGCACTTCGTAGTAGCGCGTTCAGTTCGTATTATAATATGTCCTTGACAGCATTTGAACTGCTGTCGGTGGGATCATAAGTGGAAATCACAAACAAACAGCGTTTTGTGCTACTTCTTGAATCAAGCTTAGCTGTTGTGGTCAAACGGGCTGCACTTAAACTGTTGTTTACCGAAATCCAATCAACCAACAATGGCTTAGCCTTGGAGCGTAGAATGATACCTACACCAGCTTGACCCATGAATGCTGAATTGGCGTCTCCGGATGCGTGCAGTTAATAAGGAGAGCACAAGCCAGGCGCAGTGAATTCAACAACCCCGTTGGGGTCATTGATCCTAGTTTCGGACACACAACACACATCAATACCTAGTGTATCTAAGGTGTGTGCGAGTCTAGCCTGTTGACCTGTTTGTCTTAGAGTTCGAACATTGAACGTCTCCATGAAAAAGGGACAGCGTGGCCTTATAAGAGCTTGTTGCTGATAGGCATCGAATGGTTGTTGTGGGATGGTGGATGCAGATGGTTCTACTCCAAAGGCACTTTGGTAGTTGTCAATTAAGCTGGGAATTTTGGTAGGAAGGTTAATAATGGGGGTCGGGATGGGAGTAAGCGAAACAGGTGGAAAAGAGAGAAGGGAGGCGCCAGTAGTAGAATGTTTTCGCTTATCCGCCCTGGTGTATGCAGCAGATAAGGCGACCATTTGATAATCTGCTCGACGGCCGACGCAGGGTGAAGCTTATATTTGTAAAAAAATTCATGGATGCCTAAACCCCACAAACTGTAGCATTGAAGGTCCTTACTTCGATGTTGGCCTCGGGTGAAGCCTCTAAGATCCCTGCTTGTGGCACTAGCTATCAATGAAGGGCGTACCGGCTATATTTCTTTCCATTATGTACTCTCCCGAGGCCGTGTAAGGGTCTACTGGAAACTGTCTCCTGAGTTCCCCATGACTAGTGGGGTTCGCCGGGCTTGTCCTATATGTCATTTCCTCTGCAACTTTCTGACCGAAATGATCATGAATGACGCGGTTCTTTCGCACCCTACCGGAGTGGAAGTTCGCCCGGGTGACCGACTAACAAATCTGAAGTATGCAGATGACAGCTCTTCTTGGCTCTGCAAACGCAACTGGACAGACTGGTGCGTAGGGCTGCACGCTTCAGCGTGTGCTATGCGCTTTCAAAGTGCAAAGTACTTCTGCAGGACTGGACCGACATAACTCCAGTTCTAACTATCATCGAACAACCATTGGAAGTGGTGGATCAGTTCACTTACCTCGCTAACTGTGTCACTTCTGGTGGTCACATCACTGGGGAAGTTACTTCGTGTATCAGAAAACCCGTGTGGCTTTCCATAGGTTCAACCATCTAGGGAGACGGCGGGATATCAGTCTGTCAGTGAAAGGTAGGTTGTGTAATGGTACGGTAAGGCCGGTTTTAGTGTTTGTATCAGATACCTACCCAGTTCGTGGCGATGACATTAAACGCTTAATCTTGTTGGACTGCCGGTGCTTGTGAAGTGTTGCTCACATCCGGTGGGAGCACTGGGTGAGCAATGCTGAGATCCGCCAATTGGTTTTTGACAAGAAATCTTATAGTGCATCACTCGAGTGCTTGCTAAATCTTAAGCGCTTACGTTGGCTGGACCATGTCCTCCGTATGCCCACTGACCGGCTTCTTCGGCGTGCATCATACGCCGTGGCTGCACCAAATTGGGCGAAACCACGAAGAGACCAATCCATGACGTGACATCGAGGTATGGAGAAATTGACTGAGAGACTTGGTCAGGCTGGTGCGTGCCGTCTTCGTGAATGGGGGCCTCGGAATGGTCCGCACCAATGGCTGGAGACCGTATCAGGCATGAGGGAGTCTCGCAGTCAATGGCCCTCCTGCATACAGTTTCTTGCATCTTGGTGTTAATATTCTATAAATTCTGATAAGTTTAACGCCCCTCCTTCTTGTTTCCATTTTCTGCACATCCTATTTGCCTTTAACCTCACTATCTTGCCGCTGTTATTTATTGTTATTATTGCGATGTGAGTCGTGGCACCTGGATTTACTGCACTTCTTTGTTCGGATCCGTTGTTCAACTGAACTGGACTGAAATGCAGAACGACAATAGCTGTGTTCTTGGATCACAAGATTACGTTCGATTCAATGGATCGATGCATTCTGTTTGAAATACTCGTGGGAAAAGGTGTTTCCATGAAATATATGAATAATTTACGTGCCCTGTACCCATACACCACAGGCAGCGTCAATGTCTACGTTGAATTGTCGGATACCACTCCGAAGTCAAGTGGCAGTCACCAAGCTTGTCCAATTTCTCCATCACTGTTCATATTCATCTTTGACTCCATCATGAAGTGTTGCCTTGATTAATCTCACGATACAGGTGTTGAGGTGCTGCCTTGTGAAATAATAGTTGGTCTTGATTATGCGGACGATATTCTCTTGCATTTTAGCGATGTTGGGGGTGGCCCAACCAACCCCGAGTAACCTCTCTAGACTGATCCCATCATTTAGCATGCACTTCAACACGCGAAGTGTAGTTGCAAGACTACCAGCCAATTGATCACCCTTTGATATCAAAGAGCTCGTGTTGGTTGATGAATTCATTTATCTTGGTACCTACATCGACAGCGATGGGAGCGTAACCATTGAAGTCAATTCACGTATTGCTTTCTCGTACCTGCGACATCTGTGGCGTCAGAGAGGGGTTCCCCACGTTCTGAAACGCTAAGTGTACGAGACCACAGTGAAGGCCGTCCTACCATGTGGGAGTAAGGCTTGGACCCTTCGGTCTGAGGATCTGAGGCGCCTACAAGCCTTCCATCACTACCTGCAGATTACTGCTACTGCATGATGGCACTAGCGTGTCCGAAACCATGATGTGATTAGGCGAGTGCCGGGCATTCATAATCAGGCTAGTTCCTTAGAGTAGTAAATAGCGCTAGATAAGTCGCGCATATGCCCAATCACAGCATACCGAGGTGAGCGTTGTTTGTTTGCCGGTTGTAGGGTAGCGCAAAGTCTCGAGGTAGGCAACAGTTGATTTGGCATCGGGAAATGTGTTAAATGATCACTTTGCTTGGTGCTGTTGGTCCGTCTCACCTTCCAGGTTGGAGTCCGCACGACCCCACTTGTGCTAGGCTAGAAAAGTTAAAGCGTATGGTTCGCAGTGGACACTAGTGACGCGTTTGCTCTCATCTCCTAGTCGGACTGCTTGTTTGATATATCTGGGATGCTGAGTCATCTGCGGGGTAATGGTTGATTATGACTGGGCAAGGAAGCTGCCTCGTCGATGCAACCTTGTGTTTGCACAATAGCCCGCTGTTTTTGGCGGTATGTTGTTGTAGGCCTCTTGACCCTGAATACTTGATTGCGTCATTTACGTTTTCCACTAGTTTCCCTTCCTCTACCTTTATTCTTCCCTCTGCACAGCAGCGAAGCCTTAGTTCAAATGAATGATGTGTCTTTGTTGATAACGTGCACATTTTACCCAAATGAAATCCCGTTTGTTCCTTCTTGCTATCTTTTCCTTGCTTCACAATTCATATCCCTCTATTCTATTCATTTCCTTTTTAGGGAACTGCACTGCTTACTGTGGACCAAAGACGCTGGTTGGACTTAAAGGGTAGGATCAAGCTAACACACCCTCTTCAACTGCCGCCTAGGCCAAGTAAGTTTGATAATAGGTTTATGTAGGGAATGTCAAGGAGTAATGACTACTAGGAGAGCTGTAAATGGTGAGATGTTGCATCTCGCAACATTTTCAAGCTATTTGAAAGCCCTTAGGATGTCACATCCTTTAGGTTATTAGTAATTCACTCAACTTTTGTATGGTTGTATCCGCTTCATTACACAATGCTGTGAATTTGCGGAATTTTATATTGGTGACCATTTTTACCTAATTACCGAAATGTCAAATACGCGATTCAAAGGCTAGCATTTTAATAGATTATTCTAGACTGTTAGCTTAAGATAATGCAATAGGAGTTCATGTAGGTTGGACACATGCGAAATACAGGCGTGGCATTTATGTCATCATGTCGCCTGGCATAGATGAATTGCATGCGATACATCCAGATTGCATAACATGTCGTTATGCTTCGGAACTTGTAAACGAAGTTGCTGCCATGGCTAAGTGTTAGACGGCGAATGTATGCTGAAGCTGGAATGGGGTGCGCGACTCACACGATTCCTGCGAATAGTCTGACTGCATTCTTACCTCTATTTGTCTCGCTGGTTGGCTACGTATGACACATTCCTTAGTCTAACTTCTTGTTTATGTGCCGCTTTTCAATTGCGTGCAATGATGTTGGTATGTTAGATTGGGATAGATAACTTTGCACTCTTCGCTAGTGTCCGCTACTATTATTGCCTGGTGTATATTTTGTATTAGTCGATCCCATTAAGTAGTTTAGTTGATGAGAAGAATTTTGTGCCCAAGTGGCGCTTTGAATATCTAGTTTGTTTTGTTGCCCATGAGAGAACCGCTGTGGTAGTATTGAGTAATCAGCTTCTTATGAGTTCCAACATGAATCACGTTGCACGTTAGCTCTGCATTTCGCACTAAGTGACGCTTCCATATTGGTTCCCTCTCACGCCCCTTGATATATAGCTTTGGGCAGAAAGTGAAATAATTGCTTATTAATAAACAATTCTTGTATGCGTTTCGTATGACACGATACGTTGCTAATGAAGTGATCATCCATAGAATTTATGTAACAACCTCTTACCAATGATCATTTTTCTTTTGCCTTTGATCTTACCAGACAATTGTGTTGATTTTGCACATTTGTAGTCCATTTGCTTCATGGAATTGGTTGCTCGAGCGCCTTGGACCGATTTCCAAAACGCACACTTTCTATCATTCGACCTATTTTTCGAGCGCTGTAAAGCCCTGTGGGATGCTACAGGCATATGTAATAGCCTACTTAAACGCCAAATATTGATTTTTATACTGTTCTGAGACATATTTTACTGTACTTTGGTGGCTTTTAGGTCTTTCACTTCAAGAATTATGGTGTTTAATCATTTGTGTATCCAGACGTTACCGCATTGATAATTATCAGTTAAGATTGGTCACTTCTATCAGTTACGTTGCCTGCTATAATCTAGGGGCAACTATCTGTGCAGAGCATTGGTATTACCAAAGCAGTCAAGTAAGCTGACTTTGGCAAAAAACGTTTACAAAAATTGTGTACATTAGTCAAGTCAATTCAAAATAAGCTTCTGCACTTATTTGTCAGATGGTTGTTGGGGCGAAATTTAAACCAATTTCAATCTCACCATTGAATAGTTAATAGGTTGTACACTTGCGACGACTTCGATGAATATAATGTGATTCGCTTTTCAATTGTCTTTGTTTCCAGAAACCTCAATAAATTCCGAGAGCTAATCTTTTCGTTAGTCTGATGAGAATATACTTGGATCTTACAATATCACTACTAACTCCTATTGGGCATTACTTCTAATAGCATAATTTAGCTTTTGAGCGGAGAAACATCTTGATAGCACTGAGCAGGAAACAAATGCGTTACGTTTTCTGTATATCTTATTTTATAGCGCCTTCATATACCGACAAACACCAGCGGGTCCGTTAGTTGAATTACTGAATGTAAATTGCCAAATATTATTATGAGTTGCGTCATTTGTGTCTCTGTCAGAAGTATAGCTTATTGAAGCAGATGCCAACTTCATGGTGTTAAGACGTAACTACTGGTAATATACAGGAGGCGGTTCGATGAGCATCCCTTCCTGTTCCGTGAACTATTATTTATGTGTCCCTTTTGTTTGACTCCGTTTTCATTTCTAGCATAACCAGGATAACAGTCTATGCCAATTATAGTGAAACTCAAACTTACTGCACTTTACATCACACTGGATTAAGCCTTCAGTAGACCTGCTTCTTGCGCTTCAGGACTGCGTGCACTATTACTGTTACTTTAAATTCTTGTACAGATATGTATTTGGCAGAAGCTTACGTTTTGCTGCGTTAGGTCTCAACGAATCTGATCTGTAGTTCATTCCTGTTGGTTTCTATCAAGCTACTTTTCTACGCGTTCATCGCCTTTGTCTGCGTAGCGTAACCGTGCATGAAGCTCTTGGGCGTAAATTCACCTTTTCTTTCCTCTACAGAGTTGAGACTAGAACCTGGCCAAGATGGATTTAATTTAACTCCAGTAACGAATACCTTGGAGAAGAGGAGTGTCAAATTTCGTTGCTTTATTTACGACGTCACACAGCACCTTGCTTTCAAGCGCGCTTCAGCCATCTTGGTTGTAATCAATTGTGGACTTTTGTTTTTCCCTGTAAGTGTTCCGTTCTTTCTTACAGTCGCCAAGTGTCGTTTCTTGGCCGGGGACACTCACCTAGCTCCCGACACATTGAAATACTTACTGTGTATGCTATTTGTTGTAAAAGCGCCAAATAGTTTAACTCACTAACGCAACGGTTTACGCCGGTATTCTAATAGACTCACACAGTGCCACTTGTCTCGATAGCGCTCCGAGCTAATCAGAATAGTGAAGTAAATTGCAAGCATCAGGATTAACTTAGGGGCGTTATCGATCTCATCTTATGCGGTTTGTGTTCGTGGTAACTAAGTGGAACACGACATTAAACATGCGACCGTTATGATAAAAATTCCAATTTTCTTCATTCACCTGAGCTACTATTTCACCCAATGGTCTTAAGTCTGTTTGTTTTTGTAAAAAAAGTTTTAACTGTCTTATATTCTTTTCATTTCAGTTTAATGAGGCTGGTATGGATGAGACGAACGGTGTACGTGAGCGCTACATGGTTCAAATAACACTGGGCATCATATTTACTCTGTTTTTCTGTGTCGAATGTTTGCTCAAAATCATCGCACTCAGTATCAAAGGTTACTGGCAGTCAAAACGTAATCGCTTCGATTTACTCGTCGCAACTCTAGGATGCGCTTGGATAGTTCTTCATCTGTGTCTGAGAGGCACCCCGGTAAGTACTGTACTGTTCTTTGTCGTGTATAACTGATAAGCAGCTCTTCATTAGTTGCTACAACTGCAAATTATTTTTACCCGCTTTTGTGATCCCACAGTATATTCCTCATAACCGGGATAGGTATTCCGTGCATTTAAGGCTTTAACATCTGGCATTCATCTAACATTGGTCAACTGAGATCATGCAGGCTTGTGTATTTTTTGTCGATTGAGCCAGTCTATCCCTTGTGTAACCACTCCAGTATCCTGTTTCATTACTGATGCACAACCCAAAATTTTACCCGGATACTGCTTAATGAATGCCATCTCTATCACGTCTACTATCCGTTCTACTACAGGGAACCATGCTTTGCATTCGGTGCTTACAACGTGTTCCTTTCTTTGAACATGATTCTCGTACCTTGGAAAGCAATTTGTATGGTTTGCGTTCAATCTTCCGGTGTTATGGAATACTACCGAAAAGGCACGGATTACATCAGCATTTATAATAATTTAAGTAGCATTTGAGTGCCATCCAGATGGAACCTTCCACTATTGTGACGAACGTCATTTCTTGCAAAGTGGATTGTCTAAACCAGCCATTCTCAACGGGGGGCCTTGGGATAAGAAACTTTTTAGGGAACCCTAGAAGGCCGTGCTATGAAAAGTGGGTTGTATTAACACAAATAGCAAAATTCATTTAAAATTAATTTTCTAACAATCTTCCCGTGCACTAATCCTCACTGGTAACTACAGATCAGTGAAATGAATTATGCGCGCGTACGTGCTTGTCTACAAAGGTTTGTAAGCCAGGCTGAGTCAACTTCCTGTTGCGGAGCTGGCATAGCCCCGTCAAACTTGCACAGATTTCGCCGGGCTCACCTTAAAGTATATTTCTCACATGGCGACTGCGCAACTAACACCCGGTTCCACCTCAGCACTTTGATCCTTGTCCACAGTGAACCAAATGAGCTCCACTCATAACACTGATACATCTATGGTGCAAGCTGCAATGAACCCAGCGAACTCTCGTCAGTACACTGCGGCAGTTACGGCACAAGGCCAAACTGTCACTAACTGAGTTTTCCTCAGGACACTACAACTGTGTGATGCTCATGTGCCAGTCCGTTTTCCTCGTTTGGGTCTTACTGCAGTAGCCCTAGGTTACTCGTTTTTCGTCTTTAGTCTCAACTGGCAGTGTTCCACCACTCTGTATTTCTAATGGCTGTAAGGAAGGGTTTTTATAAAATTATTGGTGTGAAAACACATTTCACTGACATTTAAAGTAGTGGAGCACTATCCTCTCAGCTCGCGTGGACGTCTGGGTGCAGTTAATTTAGCCCGCAAGTTTCTGAATTCGAGTGGCTACTCTGCGCACATGTAGTGCTATCTTACGGAAGGATATCCAGTTGTTTTGGTGAGTATATATAACATAATTTGTACATAAGGATGCTTCTTTTTATACTTATAATAATCAAGTGCTTTACCAGCACGCATTTGGCGCCATGTTTGGCAATGGGTGATGTGCCTTATTCGCTTCGTTGTTGACACTCCCGTGCCGGTTCCTTGAACTATCCGGCATTTTCTTCCATGTTTATCTCTTCTGTCCTTCATTTTCCCTGTTTGCCGCAACTTTTCGGTAATGTATGTGTATCTAGTGAGTACTGCCATTTTCTGACTTCCTCATTGGCTTTTGTCATTTTAGCCATCCACGGTATTTTCAAAGCACCTTTGGGTGGCCTCTAACAGTGTTTCTACAGTTATACATTTTAACATTGTAGCCACCAACAGAAGTTTCAAGTATGTTTGCCAGATATCTTGTTATCTCACGGTCAAGCAAGAAGAAATTTAATGCACCAATTATTAATACTACCTGCGTGTTTCGCCTTGTCGGATGATGTTATTTAATGCACATGATATAACTGTGTAAGAATATTAAAACAGAAGCAGTATGAGTATAGTATATATTAACAATTTACAATGACATATTTCAGAAATGATCTCGGCAACGAATTAGTTTCGATAGTACTCCGTAGAATAACTGTCATTTGGATCCATCGCACCACTTCAAAACTCCACTCTCTACCAATGTGTTTAATTTGCCAAAACGCTCTTTCAAATAAAAGTATCCGACCACGTAAACTAGAAAATCATTTGGAAAGTTTTGATAAGGTGAAAGCGGAAAGTTTGTGGGTTTTTTTTAGAAAGCTGCGGGATAACTTCAAAAACATACCAACTCCAAAGACAACAGTTTCTGATAGGGCAAGAATGACAAATGAACTTACGGCGTCTTATAAAATCAGCAAATTGATTGCCAAAAATTGCAGTCCACGTAATGTTGGAGAAAATATTATCTTGCCTTCAGTATCAAGAATACTGTCTGACCTGATGTATATGAATTCTCAAGAAGCAGTTTAAACCATGCTGCTCAGCAACTCAACTGTATCCATGCGAATATATATGATGGCTCAGGCCATACAAAGTACCTTAGTTACCTTACAGTACAGAAAATTTTCGTCACTAGTAGATTAATCTACTTTATCTGATAACGACGCTCTTCTCACGGCATATATTCGGTTCTTCAATGAGAAGGTATTAATGGACGAGATGCTGCTTGCCAAGATATATAAAACTTATACAAAGGGCCAATCTATATTCGAGGTAGTCAATGGCTATCTGCCTGAAAACTCCATCACTAAGCAAAACATAGTTGCAGGTGCAACAGATGGTGCTACCGCAATGGTCGGAAGATATAGAGCATTCACTGCCCATCTATAACGTGTTCTTCCCTCTGCTCATACAATTCAATGAGAGCACCCAGTGGCTAGGAAGATAGGAGGGCGCTTAAACGATCCACTGTCAAAATTTATAATAATAGTTAACAATATCAATCCGCGCCCTTTTCAGTATCGTCTTTTCTAGCAGTTGTGTGAGCAGAGCAGTGAAGAGTTCCAGGTTCTACTTTTGCATACAGAAGTTAGATGGCACTTCAAGCGCAGCTATATTCGCCGTTATGTTGCACTTTGGGACACCAACATCACATTCTTTCTGGGACGGATTATTAAGAAAACTGTGAACAGCTAATCCAGATGTGTTTTATCTGGCTGATGATTTCAAAAAACCACTTATTGAATAAAACTCTTCAGGGCAAGTTGAATAACCTCATCTCGAGCAAACATCCAAGTATCACTTTTCTTAAAAAACTGGAAGTATGTGCTCGGAACATCGGACGTCGGGAATTCTCACAATTTCCAATTGATTATATATGCTAGTCATAAAGAAGAACTCCGAAGAGGAATGAAAGATTGACACGGAAATCCAGATTTAGATTTTTGATCAATTTGTTGTACCGCACTGCGATGTTAAGGCTGAAATCCTGGAAAGTCTCATAGAGCTTAAGAATAACACACTAGCAAGATCCAAATTCACGCTATATAAAAGGGATTTTTGGATATACTGATGCCCCAGACTGTGGGAAATAGCTGAAATATATTTCCTTGCTTTCCCACCCACATACTTAGTTCCGTATGGATTCAGCAGACTGGTTCCTCTAACAAAATGTAGAAACAGGTTGGACATCACAGCAAGAGATATTGGACTCTCGCTGTCAAGTCTGGAGCCGGACGTAAGCAAGTTTGTTCAAGGTCATCAGGCTTAAGGCTCGCGTTAATATCTCGACAAACATATTGTTACGAAGTTACTGCACTTCTTAATTCATGACGTCATTACCATTAAAGCCAACAATAAGCGAATAAAATGTTAAGTAATAATGATGAGTTTTATCTAATTACTGTTAGGTGGCTTGATGTTGCCGCACAATGATTGTTACCTTAAAGCTGTGAAAGTTAACAATGGGGTTTATAAGGGAAACAGCAGTGATACCAAAACTACAAGTTAAGCCATCATAACCAAAGATACCAATATGACCACTGAAAATCACAGATTTGCGTCTGTTAAACGTTGCGGATCGCTGAAGTTGTGGTGCTCAAGGGTGGGGACCATAGGAAATGGAAAGGTTCAAAAGGGAGTCACAGCTGAATAACGGTTTAGAATGATTGGTCTAAACTACTCTTGCTTTACTTATGGCAAAACCGAGAATAAAACTTCTTGACTTGTAAGAGGGATAAGGAGTATAACGGTATATATATATTTCTTGGAAATGTGAGAAACCATTCAGTTAAGTAGGTCCGATCATTGCACACAAGTTTCATTCAGAACTGCTGGTATAAATTGGTGGTTACTACGCTTTACTGATGGGTTCCTGGTGTAATCTAAAGAAGAGTGGGTTTTTGATGTACCTAACTGGAAGCTCATCGCCGAATCTTCTAAATCAAATAGCCATCTACATACCTGAACAAACACTAGACGGCCGTTTCGACCCGTTGTGTCTCATCGGTAGTGTGCATCCATCGGCTCCATCAGGATCCGAACCCATGAGCACCAGCGGATTGAGCTGCCAGCCATCAGCTTATGTCACTGAGTCATGGAGACGGGGGCGAAACATCCTGATTTGCAAGCTAACTGTAATATAGCGCGTCCTATCTTCCACGGCGATGCAAGTTACGTGCGTTGCAATGAATAGTTATATCTCTGCGGGACAAGACTTCTACTGACAGTAGCTATTTTCGACATAGAATTGAGAAACTCTCTGGGTGAATTTTTCTGTATACTCGGGTTCGGACCCTGATGGAGCCGGTGGATGCGCAGAACTGACGAGACCCAACAGATGGGAACGGCCGTCCAGGGACTATGTGACTTGAAAGGTTCTGCGATGAACTTTCAATTAATTAATCTCAAGAAGCAATATGTTCCCTGAGAGTTTCGATGTAGGCCGAGTTTGTTTCATTTCTGTTAGCTGTTCTTCGAGAGAGTTCATCTTATTATTATTTGTGCAATGAGACCGGGCTGAGTTTTGATTTCTCCTTGCGTTTTGCGTGGTGTGGGGGATACATTTCCTTGCGCTTTTTGATTGCGGTTACGGCCATTTATAGTCTTAGTTACCTGGTACTGGAAGTGTCAATATTAGCAAAAACTGTACTCAGGAGACGGGATTGTGGCCATGACTGTAGGTGACGGTTAAAAATATACGAACTATCTACATTGGAATCAACTATAGAACTTTAGGTCTACATTGAGATTGCGCGTCGCAATCCAATCATACAATGTGTTGCCCAAAATTGGCTGACAGCTGGTCGAGAAAGCTGATTGCGAACGCGCGTATGTTTGCCCAAAGTCGTGCTTGGGAAAGACCCTGCGAGCCTGTTGCCAGGGCCCAGCCGAAAGCTGGTGAAATCGCACATCAGACAGCAGGCGTGTTGCCAAGGCCTGTCCGGAAGCTGATGAAATCGCGCGTCAGACATCACGTGCGTTGCCATGCACCGGGTAGGCGGACGAAGACTGGCGTGCCCGAGCAAGACAGTGAACTGGCAAGACGGTGCGGACAAGCATATGTGGAGCGTGGGCTTACAGCCAAATCCGCCTGGTGATGTTTGGAGGATTGGTGAGACCGACATATAAATATGAGCGTTCTCTGTCTTAATACATTTCTGGTCTGCTGAGTATTCTTTTGTCTTCCTTCCTGTCGGGTTTGTCAAGGATGCAAACAGAGCACGCGTAAGGGCGTAGGTTTAGCAGCTGGCGTGAATCAACCGGTCGATTGTGGTTACAGCGTTATAGCATTGGCCCTCCAACTTAAGGTTTCATTCAGCCTGCCACGTAGCAGCCCGTGTCTTTTATGACAAACTGAGATCATCAACTGACCGCGTGGCCTGCCTCCGACACGCTCCGCGTTTTGAAACTGTCTCGGCTTACACCCGTTGTGGCCGTATGACACAGCCGAACTCCAACCCCCTGAGAGTTAGATGTGACTCTAACTTGGGACGCGCCAATGCTGCACCACAATAAGTTAAACTGTGCGCTCATTAAAGTTGATGTGAACTCGATGCTTCCAGCACTTTCACTTGCATTGTGTCAGTTACCACTTTGTGCCTCAGATCTCGAGAATACGGTACCGATCAAAATGCATCGCTTGCCCAAGCAGCGAAATTTACTTTTCTACCTAAACGGTTATACTTCACCCTGCTGAATTAAGTTGTTATCACTAACATTTTGCGCTATACTCCATTCGGTATTAGAGGAAATTCATCACCTCAACTTTATCGCTCATTCAACTTGGCTGACAGTGTAGCTATGATGAGTCTCCTTGGAGTTCAATCCGATTTCTCCCTTTCTCTAACTACTAATAAATCTTTCGGGCTGGTTCGCGAAAAACTAAGGACACCAGACTGAGCTCAGCTGTCTGACTGAGCCCTTCTGTTTTCGCATTAAGCAATGTTTATACCAGACACCTATTCAACTTTTTGAAACATTCGTGAGGTTGTAAACCTATTTCGCACACCGTCAGATAAGTTTTAAGAAATTGTTTGTCTGATTTTTCAACCATACGTTGAGGGGGGGTAAAACCGTACCGTTGTTTATAACGTACAGCATATTATCAACTTTCGTCCTGCATGCATAATAGCTTGCTTAACCCTGCTGAAGTAAACTAAATTGTCATAATCAAAGTGCCTTAGCCTATTCACACCGAGTAACTAACACCTTATTTGCTCGGATGGTTTATTACATCCTCCCAATGCACAATAGACCGTATGGGTCTGTACCGTTCATACTTGAGGGCAAATCTGCGCTCCTTTGGTATTTATTTGATGGAGTCATAGTGTGATGATTATTATTAGCCTATGTCATTGCGTGCTAGAAAACTGAACTTCCCTTGACTTAAATTTACCAGAAGTTATGACATCTGACCACCTTAGCTGGGTTTGTTTACCACAGCGTTATAGAGACAACAGATGGTCACATTTGAATACAGCAAAATGACCTGGATTAGGCAAGAAGTGTAGAAATCTGTTTGGGGTTCTTTGTTTGGTGCCAGCTCATCTGGTCAATCGTTGGTAAAACGACTTTTCATCTACATCTATTGCAGGAACGACACTGCATCAGCAACAACTTCGGTTGGTTCGTGTTGATGCTGCGTTTTTTGACGATTGCTGGCCGACACGTAAGTTCGTATGTCATATGATGTTCTTTATGTTTTGGTAGTTAACTAGAGAGAATAAACGGTGAATTTCTGCGGATTAAGAAGCGCTGCTTTACAAGCCCCGTTGGATATTTGGTGTGAATGTCGAAATAATAATGCTAATAATAACAATGCTAATACTAATAGTAAAACCTTACTATAAATATGAAAAGGATTTTTCGTTTGCCCCGCCGTATTCCTGGAATCCGCGTAGTTTCGCAGCATCTACAGTTACCATCAAATAAATCCATGGTACAATCCAGAAGTAGTGCTAAGTACCAACGTGTAAGTGGATGAGTACGTCATCCAACCATTTTTTAAAATAATATTAGTGTCAGTGCAGAGGTGACTGATACCAGGAGAGCATTCCACAGGTGACAAACACGGATGGAAAAGAGATTCTTGCGGCATCACAGACAGCTTTTCTCTTCTGCGAGTTTAAACGAATGACCGCTCAGGGTTAAATTGCTGCTGAGTTGCAGTAAGGAGCAGCACACGTGATGTGAGTCGTGCAGAATCAAGTATGCTATCATCAGGCAGCCTCGTAATCTGCGATAGCTTCGGCTGAATAACCCCAATCGTTACAGCCTCTCCTGGTATGAAAGATTGCGCATTCCAATTACGTTCTTAGATACCCGGCGTTGTGCCTGCTCCAATGCATTAAGGTCTTGTTTCAGTCATGGATGGCAGGCTTGAATTGCGTATTCGACATGAAGGCGAACATACGCCCTGAGCATTTGTCGAAATATGAAGCTGTTTATTTGTCCAAACACCCGTCGCAACAGCCCGACGTGCTGGTTCCCAGTCTTCCAGGCCTTTTCTGATTGCCTGCAGCAACCCAAGTCATCTTGAACCATGACACCCAAGTCACGGTCGAGAGTTGATCGTTGTAATATATTCGTTCCGAAGCGGTATGATTAGCTGCTCTGATGTTGGATGGAAAGCACCTTGCGTTTACTGACGTTGAAATGCAGTAAGTTTTGGGTTGACCATTGATTTAGATCACTGAAGCAGATGTCTTTCGACACTTACCCGAATCCTGCGCTAAATCTTAGTGTCGTTGGCAAACATTAGGAAGTTTGAAGCGATTGCCTGTGCGAGGTCATAAATAAATACCTAAAACAGACGTGGCCCTATAACAGCCTTGGGACACACCACACTTGACTTGTATGGGGTCCGATAAAGAGTTCCGAACTCTGACCACTATTTGCTGTTGAAGTAGGAAGTTGACGATGCAGCTTAGAAGAGCGTCGTCGATCCCGCAATATTGGAGTTTGGAAAGTAGTATCCGTTGTTCTAGACTAGAGATGTCCAATTTTTCGCACGGAGTACCACGTTTTGTGAGGTAAAAATACGTCGGGCCTTATTCAGTCTGACGTTAAGATAAGAACAAGAACCACAGATGTCACAAAATGTCCAAGTCTGTATTTATTATTTACTGATGAGACCGCGGGCCAGTTGAAATGTTAAGGCGAGCAGCATTTGGCCCGAGTGCCAGAGTTTGGACATCCCTGGTCCAAAAGATCGATAGCTTTAAAAAAATCCAGTTAATCACATCAACATCCTCTCCGGCGTCAGCTGATTCAGTCCAACTACTGCATGCGATTAGTAATTTCGTTGTGCATAATCGCTGTTGACGAAGCGTGCTGCTCGGGCTTGATGCTACTGCAGTTTTCCAGATTACACACCAGTGTATCGGCAACGATGGATTCCATGACCTTGGAGAGTATAATGATAATGAATACCGGGCGCTGGTTGGAGGACTCAGTTCTGCTTTCACCTTGGTGAATCGGGGTTATTATTCCAAGCTTCCACATAGCAGGAATTTGGTTCTGCCCTAAGCAGCGCTGGAAAAACTGAGCTTTACTCAGTGACAGCCATGCATCAGCCAATTGCACGTAGTTTTCCATCAAACTGGTCGCTAAATATGGAACAAACTTTCCAATCTTCTATCTTTTGCCTTGCTATTGTGTTTCTGACGGCGGTGATCCAGTTACTGCGCATTTTCAAACGTTTAACCGGCAGATTTTTGATACTTTAAATGAAACGTAAATATTAATGGCCATCATAAGTGCACTCGTGATATGCACAGCTCAAGCGGAATATTTCATCTATTTCCGACGAATGTGTTGTTGTTATAATTGAGTCGCCACTGTTATAATTGTGAGAACGCCGCCTCTGTTCTAATTGCGTAATTGCCGGATAAGATTGTCGCTGGCACGGTTGGAGCACGCCTACGATGACGACTTGTAACGCTGGCCACTCGAACGGAGTTGCGCTGACCTGCTGGTGCTAGCTTAGCCGGTGAGACGGAAAATTGAGCGAGCGTGGGGACGATCCTAGCCGCACTTGTTCGGATAGACGCTGAGCCATCTGAACAGACGCACACGACAGGGGGGGTACGATAGACGCACGCTAATGACTTAGACGCGAAGAATGGTCAGCTAACGACTCACACGCAATCACGTGACCCGACCGACTCCCAACTGAGGCGAAGAGAAAGAAAAGGCAAGTGGTCCTCTGTAGGCTCTTTTACGACCAACAAAGGGCGAAACACAGCCAGTGCTATGGGTTATTAAGTTAGGGAAAACAGTCACCACGAAGAGGGGGTAGTTTGCAAATGAGAATTGTCGAAAGGTGCGCAGTTGGGCCGCGACTCGGAGTGGCTGAGCTCTGCTGCGTTGTGGGGAGGAATTGAACCTCGGTTTTCACAGCCATTCTGTCGGGGTTTCTGGCGTGTTTTTGCGGGAATATTTGACGTGCCCGCAGCACCTCCCTTTGAAGAGAAAGCGTACCGCTTCTGGCGAGGATTGACCTGGAGGGATTTCGCCGAACTCTGGATTCTTCCTGTTCGTCGGCAAGGCAGGTTCTCCAGACGCGGCGGCGATTGAGCGGCTTCGACTGTGGTCTTTCGTTGTGTGGCCAATCCAAAGGTATCCAGCAGGATGTGCAGCAGCAGGCGCACGGGATGGCTGGCTGGCGCGGAGGTTTCTTCGTGGCGCGGACGAAGTTGATTGCGATGGCGAACCCAGATGTCATTACCAACGGAGACATCATGCAGCACGTCACTTTGCCTGTCCGTCACTGTTGCTTTGATCCAGCGAGGATGACCTGCTCGGTAAGCGCGAGCGTAGACCGGGGCTCCAACGACGAATTCTTTATGCTTGGTGCAGGCACCAGATTGCGTATGTGGGTTCTCAGTCGGAATGAGCGCTTCGTTAGTGGTGCGTAGCTTGCGGCCCATCAATGCTTCAGCTGGTGATTGGCATCGTGTAGTAGCTGGATTCGGTGTAGACCGATACGAGAGCAGGAAGGCTTGAAGACACTCATCCACGGTCCTCTCCCCGCGAGGTTTCAAAAGCGCCCTCTTGAAGGTGACGACAAATCGCTCCGCTTGACCATTGGACTGGGGATGGTACGGCGGTGAGCGGAGATGTTCGATGCAGTGTCGGCGACAAAACTCTTCGAAGATGAAAGAGGTAAACCGGGTACCATTGTCGGACACCAAGACCTCGGGAAGGCCGTGCTGACTGAAGATACGTTGGAGACAAGCCAGAGTGGCGGAGGCGGTTGGGGGGTTGACGGCGACCACTTCTGGCTATTTGGAACAGGCGTCGACCACGATCAAATAGGAAATGCCATCGATGGGACCAGCGTAATCGATGTGCACCCGAGACCACGGTTTTGCTGGCGGATTCCAAGGAACCGGTGATTGGTGTGGTGGCATCTTGGATGCTTGTTGACATCGCGAGCAGCAGCGGACCAAATCTTGAATGTCGTTGTCAATGGCAGGCCAGTACACATAACTGCGGGCAACTGCCTTCATTCTGTTCATACTGGGGTGAGCAGAATGGAGCTGGTGGTGTACAGTTTGCCGGAGACGTGAAGGAACGACAACTCGATCAGCTATAATGAGACAGGGACCGACCACGGAAAGGGAGTCGCGGCGTTGGTGCAGTTGTTTGAGTTCACCAGACAAGGTAGTGTTTGGCCAGCACGTCTGAACGTAAGTGACGGCGTTCTACAGGACAGGGTCTTGAGCAGTTGCACGACGTATGCCGTCGGCAGTGATAGGGAGACTTCGAATAGCGTTCGATAGTTGATAACGAACGTCGTCCTCGACGGTTACAGCGGCAATCACTGTGTCTTCTACTGCGACATGTTTGGAAATGTGGCAGGAGAGACCGTCGGCTTAACCAAAATCCTGAGTACGGCAGTAGCGGATTTCGAACTCGTAACCAAGAAGGATGACCGCCCAACGCTGAAATCGACTAGCCGAGTATGCCGGAATGCCCTTCTTTGAACCGAAGATTGAAAGTAGGGGTTTGTGATCACTCAGTAGCGTGAACAGTCGGCCATACAGCATCTTGTGGAACTTGGTGACGGCAAAGACAATGGCAAGGGCTTCCTTCTCGATCTTACCATAGTTCTCCGGAGACGTCAGGGTGCGGAAGACTTGTATAACAGCTTTCTCGGAACCATCTGGGAATCGATGGGAGAGAACTGCTCCGATCCCGTAGGCAGAAGCATCAGCAGCGACCAAAATCGGTAAAGCTGGGTCGTAATGGGTCAACAGTAGATCAGAACTCAGCATGGCTTTCAGGCGAACGAAAGCTTTTTCGCATGCGGGGGACCAGTGCCAAGGAACGTCCTTCTGCAACAACCGATTGAGTGGGGCTCGAACATCGTGTAGCGATGGCAAAATGGCGCTGTAGTAGCCGATAAGACCCAAGAAGGACCGCAGTTGTGACACATCCGCTGGAGCTGGCATCTGCTGGATGGCTCAGACGTTCTCAGGATCAGGATGACGACCATGGGCACCGAAAACGAACCCAAATTATTTGATCGACGGAAGGAAGCATTGGCATTTCTCAGGTTTCAGGTGGAAACCGTACTCCTGGACCCGTTGAAGGACTGCAGCCAGGAGCTCTCGTAGCTCTTCTGGGGTGCGACCAGCAATGAGTAGATCGTCCAGGTACTCGGCCGTACCCGGAACACCAGAGATCATAGCGTCCATTGTCTATTGGAAAATAGCTGGAGCGGTCTTGACACCAAATGGGAGTCTGGTGCACTGGAGAAGACCACGATGCGTATTGATCGTCAGGAGGGCTTGTGACTCAGGGGCGATCTCGATATGCAGGTAGGCGTCTGCCAGGTCGATTTTAACGAAACAGGTGCAACCGTTGTGTATCGTGAAGAGATCGGCTGGGATCGGTAGCCGGTAGCAATTTGGCTCTAGTGCTGCGTTGAGACCAATGGAGAAATCGGCACAGATTCGGGGGGATCCATTCGGCTTCTTGACCACGACGATCGGCGCTGCCCAGGCGGAATAGGACACAGGCACCAGAACGCTCATGGCTTCCAAATGTTGGAGTTTGGCATCGAGCAATGGTAAGGCTGCGTATGGGACAGGCCTTTTGGGACGGCATACCGGTTGAGCACCAGGTACAAGCTGTAACGCGACGCGGGTGCGTGTACAGCGGCCAAGACCATCCTGGAATACCGGGGCGAACTGTCTGATGATGTCGGCGGTTCGATCGTTTGGTAGTGTCGGAGAATGTACTGGATTGCAGATGGCCCGAAGAGGAAGATCGGCCAAGCCAAGGGTTTCGAGCCGGTCGAGACCAAGCAGGTTGAGCTTCGCCTTTGTAATGGAGCAGATCGCGTTGAACGTGGCGCCCCGGAAGGAGACGGAGCAGTGCAGCTGCCCAGTTAGCTGCACGCGACCACCACAGGCGCTGGTGGCAGATTGGAAGGTTGGTTCGTACGGTGGCTTGCCAAGGGATCGCCAGAGATCCTCGGAGATGATGGTGATGTCCGACGCAGTGTCCAACTGCAATCGGACCGACTGACCATTAATAAAGACGTCGACGAACTTTCTCCTATCCCCAGCGTTGATTTGGAACGTAGCCAGCAAGCTCAGAGAGTTGACAACCGGATCCGGTTTGGGTGTGCGTCTGGGTCGGGACCTCTTCTTTAGATCGCGGGTGGGGGCCAGCCCAGTTTTGGCCCCCTTGGAATATGGAGGATGGCAGTAACCATCCCGGTGCCCCACCCTGCCACAACGTTGACAACGATGCTGGCGGAACTTGCAATCGCGGTGGAAATGCCAGGCACCACAGCATCGGCACGCGTAGGGTGGGGACTTCGCTCGGTCGGATTGGGTGGGGCTCGCGGACGATTGCGCCATCGGTGCTGTGACTGCCTGGACCATACCAGGTGCGGCGGCGTTCTGGATCATTGCAGAATCGTGCTTCAGGTTGAGCAGCGTTTGACACTCCTCGGCCAGGTTCTGGAGTGTGACTGATCCATCCTGTTGCAGCTTGGACAGGAGGCGCGTCCGGATATCGGCATCGTGTGGAGATTGGAGGCCAGAGACGAAGATCAAGCATTTGAATTGGTCCTCAGTGAGCGAGCTAAGTTGAAAACGTTGGCATTCACGGTTGACCACGCCCGCGTACGTGATGAAGTCGTCGGCATCACGTTTGGCCAGCTGCAGACATTGGTAACGAGCATTGAACAGAGAGGACTGCTCGCCAAAGATCTGTGACAACGTTCGGACCGTCTCGTCAAAGGTAAAGTCGCGTGGGTTCCTCGGTAAGATGAAGTTAGTGTATCGCTGGTGTTCGAACGTACCAAGTTTGCGAAGAAGCAGCCGGACCTTCCACGCGTCGTCCTGGCAAGCCACGTCAATGGTGAACATGTCTTCATACCGCTTGTACCAAGATTCGAACGTTACCCCTGCCTTGGCGTCATACAGGAATTCGCTGATGCCGATAACCACATGGTCCACTGACTGAGAATTAGCGCTTGGACCTGCGTGAAGGGAAGAACTGGAGAGCTTTTCGGTTAAAACGGACATCAATTTAAGCTGTTGCTGCAGCATCAGTTTTAAATCGGCGTATTCGTCAGTCATGGTTCGTCAACGCTGTCGCCACTGTTATAATTGTGGGAACGCCGCCTCTGTTCTAATTGCGTAATTGCCGGATAAGATTGTCGCTGGCACGGTTGGAGCACGCCTACGATGACGACTTGTAACGCTGGCCACTCGAACGGAGTTGCGCTGACCTGCTGGTGCTAGCTTAGCCGGTGAGACGGAAAATTGAGCCAGCGTGGGGACGATCCTAGCCGCACTTGTTCGGATAGACGCTGAGCCCTCTGAACAGACGCACACGAGAGGGGGGTACGATAGACGCACGCTAATGACTTAGACGCGAAGAATGGTCAGCTAACGACTCACACGCAATCACGTGACCCGACCGACTCCCAACTGAGGCGAAGAGAAAGAAAAGGCAAGTGGTCCTCTGTAGGCTCTTTTACGACCAACAAAGGGCGAAACACAGCCAGTGCTATGGGTTATTAAGTTAGGGAGAACAGTCAACACGAAGAGGGGGTAGTTTGCAAATGAGAATTGTCGAAAGGTGCGCAGCTGGGCCGCGTCTCGGAGTGGCTGATCTCTGCTGCGTTGTGGGGAGGAATTGAACCTCGGTTTTCACAGCCATTCTGCCGGGGTTTCTGGCGTGTTTTTGCGGGAATATTTGATGTACCCGCAACAATTGTGTTGCAGTCTTTCAACGCAACCCTTCTCGCAATTGTATGCACTCACCAGGCAGACGCAGCGGGGCTGCGACTATTTCCCCTGGACCTATGGGGTGGGTAACGTATCCCCTATTCCTATACCACGGAGTCGCAGCTGGCTACGCAACGTCTAGTGACTAATTGAAGAATTAATTTTGCAGCATTGTTTGGAATGCATTGCGACACGCAACTTCAATCTCGATCTGTTGTTCCACTGTGGCTACACTATAGTCTGTACTCCTAAGCTACTTGATATGCTTAGACTAAATGGGACTTCTCTGCGTGTGTTCGTCTCGATTCCGAGTTTCTCCACAACGTTACGGTGAAAAGAAAAGGGAACATCTGATAGATCGGCATCATGTTCATGTCTACTATCTGAATTATCAACAAATACTTTCATTGTCAAGTAAAGGTTAGCCTCCATTGTATGAGGCTCCTACCTGAGTTGGTTCCGGCGAACTACCAGTACTCCGAAACCGCACGCGAATGGTGATTGTCACGTGATGGCGGGACGTTGGTACTGCGTACCCCTAATGCATCTCCTCTTGGTTTGACATGCAGAACTGAATTCGCAGTCACATCTTAAATTATCAGTTACAGTATCGTAACTATGAATGCGTCTTTCTGATGTGCCTATTGATACCACTAACACCGGTGGGATTGGTTTGAAGTGATGCAGTAATTCTATAGGAAGTTTCGTTTCTTTTGTTAATCGGAGCAGTTTCTAATTTTTGCGTAGTGTTTTGACTAAAACCCAAAAGTAGCATTGCCTGCTCATGACGATGCTTTTGAGCCAGTTGTTTTATATCCCTAACATTTTGCTCCGTTTTGTCTGTAACAGGACTAGAATTATTGTCATCAAGAGTACTTACTGTCATAGGCTCTGTCATTTCATCCCTTCGAATCCTACACTCGCACACCTAACGCAACGATGTTGGTTTCAGCTTTAAACTATTAAGTTACTTATGAGGAACTCAACACCTGATAGTTGCTTGCCGTATAACAAAAGTTTACTTCACTGCTCCGCAGAAGATGCCGTTCTTTTCATCTTACTTTTCAAACTAATAATCAACAGAGCGGTCTGTTATTAGTTTACTTTCATTTTCCAACTGGACAATTCTATATGTTCCGTGCTCCAGCTAGGCATCATTTTGCGTGCTTATTGTACGATGTTCAAAAGTAGGCCGGTGCTTAATTACAATCCAACCGCTATACTGTTGCCATGTTTTCAATGTCTTTTCCTATTTAGCTTCTGATCACTTCTTTCAATGTGTCCCCTCAGGTTACGTTGAAAATGCTGATGCTGACCGTAATTATGTCGATGTACAAATCGTTGTTCATCATCACCAGCATGTTTCTTCTGATGCTCATCTACGCTTTGGCTGGTGTGGTTCTGTTCGGATCAGTTAAATACGGAGACAACCTTGGCCGACACGCAAATTTCCAAAACGCATTCCGGGCTACCGCTCTGCTGACGCGGATAGTAACTGGTAAGCAATCTTCTTGAAAGTTACATCCATTTACTGTGGAGCTAATGCTTCTCAGATACTGTTTTTGGGATTTCCACGGAATGCTGAGTTTTGAAATTTTTCTAAGATTTGCATCGCTCTTAGAATTTCCTCTACCTCGTTGATTTGCGCTTATTTTGCCTCAATCCTTCTGATTCTCTTATTCCAGGCGAGGACTGGAACAAAATAATGCACGATTGCATGATCCAACCCCCATTTTGCCGAATGCGCACAAACTTTTGGGAGACCGATTGCGGCAATTTCCGTGCTGCTCTTATCTACTTCTGTTCATTCTACGTCATAATAACCTACGTTATGTTGAACGTACTTGTCGGTGAGTTAATTGCAATTAACTCGTTATATTTTCCAGATTACGTCACTTTAAGCAAATTTGTCATTTAATGTCACCGAACACAGTGCATTGCCTGAGATCATACGCGATTCCTTCTACATTTGGGCGCCATCGAATGTGCGTTAAAAAGAGCGGTTCAGAGCATAGAGACAAATATTTTCCAGCATGATTCACTTTCTGCTAGTACAGTTTTTCGTTATCTCTTTACTTCAAATCCTGGTTCGTTTCTGAGCAGAAAGTAAAATCCAGAGTGGAAAATGTATGTTTACTCACATTAGATGTGTGGCTCATTGTTAATAAGTTTCGTTGTTACCAGTCTTGTATTGTGGCGTTGAGTACGAGGAGCACCAAACCTTATGTTGTGTAACTCAATCCTTCAGGGCCAAGCGTTTATTCAACAAAGTTAAGTCGGCGAAAAGTACAGCATGTTTGGTAAGGCAAACTTCTTATGATGACTTGCACGTTTAATTCCATAACTTATGAGTCTATGAGGTTCCTCCTTTGCTTCAGTTAGACAAACAGTAAATCACTCACACGAATATCGGCCACTCTGAGTCCAGTAATCGAGTCCGTTACGCCCGCCTCCCATTGGCTACCTGTTTTTCTCGGTTGGTCCATCCGCTCATTTTGATTTGACACTCATCACGTTCTCCATTTTTCATGTCCTTGCGCCTTCATATTGATATGCAGCCCATACAGCTTGCCACTCCGCGTCGTTTTCGCTGTACCTGCAGCCGTGGTCTCCTTGCCACACGCCATATGGCGCTCCACTCCCAATCCACATTATTGTCTCCGGTTTCGCCTCAAATGCACTCGATTTCTTCCGAACGTTTTCCCTGCAACATTTATCTCGCATGACCTGCCACCGACTCTCGTAGTCACCACACCTTTCTTCCACCGTTCTTGCCTATCCGGTGCTGGTTGAACCCAAACTTCCTTCCCCACTGTCAGCTCAGGTAGTACCCCTGCACCGCAGTCGTAGTACCGAGTGGTCATTCGTCGTCTTAGTTTTTTTCGTGATCGCTCATACTGCGGCGAAACTGAGCGTATCAGTATTCTAGTCATTCGTCTGTATAAGCGCTGCACTGGGCTGAACCCAATAAATGTTTAAAGAGTATTGCAATTCTCCAGTAGCATAAGGTACGGACCATCGCCAGTTGCTCTAGCCTTTGTTAACAGTCGCTTGGCGTGCTTCATTGCCGACTCTGCCTTTCCATTCGATTGACTGTAATATACGCTGGTTTGCTGGTGCACGATAGGCGTTCAGAGCGCCTATCAAATTACGCTGTCATCCGAGTGGGATAAACGCTCACTGGATGCAATTGAAGCTCACTGGTCTCATATGCAACAGGCCTTACTAGCAGCAGGCAAATCCTCATGTGGTATGTCTAATCGCCAACATGAACATTGGGTCTCTTCACAGTCTTTGGAACTTATAGATGCTCGCTGGCATCTTCCGGCTGGAAGCGAACACAATGAAACTCGCAAAGAGCTCCGGGCAAAACTCCGTGCTAGCCTGAAGAGAGACCGCGAATCCTGGTGGTCTCGTCGTGCAACAGAGATGGAAATGGCCGCTGCCCTTGGTAAACATCGTGAGTTATTCCGTCTTATACGGGAAACGGGCAGCAGGAGACCTGGTGTTAGTGAAACTATACGTGACGAGAGTGGACAGCCTATCCACAACTTATCAAAACGCCTGGAACGTTGAGCTGAGCACTTTGAAAGGCAATTTAATCGGTCGGAATTGTTAGATTTCTCGCCGACCAGTGATCGCCATGCTCCGTGGGCTGTTCCTTTGGATCCACCCTCTCGCTCAGAAGTCGAACATGAGATCAAACTTTTGAAGTTAAATAAAGCCGCGGGACCTGATGACCTTCCTCCAGCTCTCTTCAAGTTCGGGGGACCTGCTCTTGTGGATGATTTACACGAGTTACTAGTGAGACTGTGGGAGCAGGAAACTGTCCCAACCGATTGGAGCCGCTCCATCATAGTCCCAATTTTCAAAGGAGGCTCACGATCGGAATGCGGCAGCCATAGAGGAATCAGTCTGATCTCCATCGCCTCCAAATTGCTTGCCTCTGTCATCCTTCACAGACTGACTGGCACTCGTGAAAGCCAGATTCGTGAAGAGCAAGCTGGATTTCGTCGAGGTCGTAGCTGCATTGACCACATCTTCACCTTGCGTCAGTTGTTGGAGCACCGTCACATATATTGGAGGCCCACCGTTGTCGTGTTCCTCGATATCAAAGGTGCATTTGATTCGGTGGATAGACATGCACTTTGGGACTGTCTACTCAGAAAAGGTGTACCTGAGAAATATGTGAATATTATCCGAGCATTATATGCTCGTAGCTCGGGCAGAGTGAGGGCTTACGGCAAGTTGTCGTCGCCCTTTAGTATCTCCAGCGGCGTGAGACAAGGATGCCCGCTGTCACCTTTCCTCTTCAACTTCGCTGTTGACGAAGTCATGAAAATCGCGCTTACAGGACACGACTTAGAAGGTGTGGATCTGCTCCCAGGAGAACGACTTCTTGACTTGGAGCATGCTGACGATATTGCCCTCATCTGTGACAGCTCCCGGACGTGCCAAGCGGCACTGGACAGATTAGCACTAGCTGTCCGTCACTTCGGGCTTTGCTTCGCACCTTCGAAGTGCAAAGCCTTTCTCCAAGATTGGTCTGGACCACCTCCTACGCTGACCCTTGGTGGGGATCAGCTAGAAGTCGTTCAAAAATTCAACTACCTGGGAAGTTGTATCAACGCCCGTGGGATTGAAGATAAAATCACGAAACGTATAGCAAAAGCTCGGGGCGCTTTTGCTAACCTTCGCCACTTATGGCGCCGGGGCGACATCACTCTTGCCCTGAAGGGTAGAGTGTACAATGCAGCAGTACGTTCGACCCTACTGTACGGTTGTAAAACCTGGCCGCTTAAAGCAGCGGACCTGAAGAGGCTAGTTACGTTCGACCACCGGTGCCTTCGTAATTTAGCTCACATTCTTTGGGAACACCGCGTGAGCAACGAGCGTGTTCGACGCCTTGTTTATGGCACAGGAAAAAGAAATGAACCGCTCAGCACCGGTTTTTCACGCATCAGGCTCCGATGGCTCGGCCACGTGTTACGCATGCCAGCCCACCGACTTCCGCGACGTGTGTTGTTTGTGCGCCGGGGTTGTGGATGGAAGAAGAGAAGGGGTGGCCAAGCGATGACTTGGTCGAGAGGAATGAAGACCCTCACTTCTGAGCTGGCCTCGGTTGGAGCTTCTCGGCTCCCTGGTTGGGGTCCGAAAGACGATGAACACGTTTGGTTGGACACACTTGCTGATATGGCAAGGAGCCGACCTCAGTGGCGTTCGTGCTGTGAGTTTCTTTGTCCCACCCCATCCCTCTTAGCCTCCCCCTCCAACCACGATCTCATTACTTAGCCTTATATAATTTTGCATAATATTTTTTTGGGTGCACAGCAGCCGGCTGGTAGCTTACCGGAACGATGCCCATCCGTTACCGGTAGCTCAGCCAGCTTTCACCAGTTTTTTTTCTCTCCTTTTTTTCTTTGTATTGCGGCACAGTAGCTGAGGTGTTCCCCACCTCTAGCTAACGTGTATGATGATTAGGATGCTGGTGCACGAATTCCCTATTGGTTGCGAAAGCCCAGAACACAGCGCTGGTAAACTGGGGACCATTGTCGGAGACCAGTTCCGCCAGTATACCGTGCCGCGCGAACTGACATCTGAGCTTGTTGATTATTGCCTCGATGTTCGTAGTGGCGAGTAAATCGCTTTCAAAATAATCACTATACTAATCCACCGTGAGTAAGTAATCTTTCCGTTATCACTGAATAAATTCACCGCCACTTACTGCCACGGTCGATCAGGGACATCATGCAGCATCATTGGTTCCCTCGTCTGCCGGATTCTGTGTGGACAGCATACCTGACAGTTGGACACATGATGCCTGCATTGACCTGTCATTCCTGGCCAAAAGATCCATTCTCTTGCTCGGTTAATGATATAGTTGACACCCAGGTGAGCGCGATGAACGTATTCCAGCATCTCTCCTCGAAACGATGACGAGACCAGAGTACGGCTTCCCTTCGTATACAGAGAGTTCAGCATGAAAATTGCAGTAGGGTGTTAGTTCCTTCGGAGCTGCTTCTTTGTCTCTGGCCAATCATTTAGGATAATGTCTCGCAAACCTGAAAGTGTTGCATCTTCCTCTGTGTGGCGTCTTAATTCCTTTAGGTGATCTTTTGTCACTACCAGATGCTGTACTAGTTGTATTGTTTCTAGCTCTTCCGGATTATTCTCCGCCACCGGCAGAAGTGCACTTGACAGCATATCCGTGAGGAGTATCTTTGAACCAGGTGGGTACACAATATCCGCGTAATACTTTTGTACTCGCGTAAGCATGCGTTGAACGCGACGTGGAAGGATGTGCAGCCATTTCCTGGCTATTAACAAGCGGTTTGTGTTCGGTATACACAGTTGTTTTTCTTCCGAAAGTATACTGGTTGAAACGCTCCATGGCATAGACTACCGAGAGCATCTCTTTCTCAATCTGCGCATGGCGCTGCTCGGTCACAATGAGTGCACGACTACCATAAGCAAACAGCACCTATTCCGTCTTGGCAACTGTCACACTGTACTACCAGAGGCTACGCTGGATCGTAATACCCGAGTACAAACACGTTTCTGTTGAGGTGCTTGATAGCTGCGAATACGATTTCCTGTACATTTTCCCACTCCACTTCACTCCTTTGTGCATGAACTTCCTGATTAACTTCCTGATCTCGGTGAGCCTTGGCATAAAACGGCCCAAATAATTCACCATACCGTTTAAGCGATGAATTCCCTTCATCTCGTCAGGGGGTGGCATCTCTCAAATCGCCTTACTTTTTCCTGGATTGCCTCTGATCCCTCGGGTTGTTAGCACATGCCCATGGACAATCACCTCGTCTTTCCGAAGTTCAATTTTTTACGTGTA